AAACAAAAAACAACAAAAACAAAACAACAACAAACACAAACAACAAATAAATAAGTAAATAAATAAATAAATAAAGACTTGCTAGATGTAAGAAGTAAGAAGTAAAACCTGACAGGCTGCAAAACTCAAAACTTAAACGAGGCCACGAAAACGGAACAATCAAAGACTTACAGAATTGTTTCTCCTTTTTCTGCAGTGTATCTATGTTTCTGTCAAAGCTGGCCTTAATGGCGCCCTCACAGTATCGAGATTTCTCGCGCATGCACTTCAGAACTTCCGGAAGAGCCCTGAAACAAGCAAAGTTTATTTGAGATTGAATTCCAATTTTACACTACATTCAGCACTCAAAAAGAAATATGGGAATTATTTAGTACAATATATTCAATCCGTAAAAGAAAATAGGGCACATACACGCACATGCGCGCGCACGCGCGCGCACACACACACACACACACACACACACACACACACACACACACACACACACACACACACATCAGCACACTCAAGTACTCACGAACACTGAACACTCATTCAGACTCAAAAACACATACACAGACACTTTTACACACCCAAACACACACACACACAAGCACACTCACACACGAGAACACAGACAAACACGGGCTGACACATATAGGCACATAGTTCTAGAAACAAAGTAAAGCTTTATAACAACACAAAAGGCAAGACTTACTCAAGTTGAGGGCGCCGTAAGCCAAAGCCAAAAAGGATACGAAGACGGCAATAGTAGTCCTCATTATGACTCTCAATCAAGGTAGCTCGTTCTCCAAAAATACAATTGTGTGTTCATAAAACTGCGTTTTTATACATTTGCTCAAATGTAAACGCCCACATTTCTTTTTTAAAATATTGTATTCTGGACTCTTCGGTGGTAGGGAGTGGTTACATGTTACAGTTGTTTTTTTTCCTACCTCTTGTTAATTAACTCTTACGGAACCGAGCGCGAATTCACTGCCTCACGACATAGCTCGGTTGTGTACAGCCACAACAAAAGTCTACCAAATCCCAGCTTGTCCTGTCGTATCTACTATCAAATTATATATATCGGTGATCAAACTGAATGTTTTATTCTACATATTGCTCATTTTTTTCTCTCCCTTGCGTTTATTTTATACTCACAAGTTCCACAGAAGAAGAGTTATAGGGAGTCTATGACGCTGACAACGTGGATGACAAAATTGGTTGGGACAAAGAAGGAAGATTTTTTCCAGTATTAAGAGTTAAGATAACCCACTTCGCTTGTTCAATCCTTTTTTTATCTTTTAAATTCAAAGTACAATATTTTTTTTCAATTGGGCGTGGTTCAAACGCAATAGACCTACGAGAGAAATACGAGCATCTAACACACGTACCAAAACCCCGCTAATTAATCAGTTTTTGTTATCAGTTTTTTTTTGCCCGCTTTAATTGTCTCTTGATCTTCAGTTTACCAAGGCTCAGCAAACTATGCCCTGCAAGTGGTCAGCCACAACCTAATTGTAAGACTTTTTGGTAATGATGCGAAATAGTTCTTTTTGATTTGTTGTGTGATTTTAATTTTTATTCGATGAACAAACAAACGGACAAGCAAATCAGCCGTCTGCATTTATATGTGTCCCTTGTACTGGACAAAATAATTATTTTGCCAGGGCTCGGCATGTTCTCAGTCATCTGACCTAATTTTTTAAAAACAAGAACTCACACACAAACGTTTGGTGACTCGTTGTCTCCAGTGATGTCATGACCCCAGACGAGATTTACTACACTGGCCGACTAAGCTTTGCTTATTGAAATAAAACATGTGATACGTACGCCACCTTGTCAGCCAGCCTCCAGAGCCTATAACATCAAACACTCAGGCTATAAAAAAAGAGGAGGGCCACGCAAAAGGTGGATTGAAGGTGTCAAGGAAACCTGGAGAAATTACAACATCCACATTGAAAGAGCTCTGCGGAGCTGGACTACCATAGAAAACTGCATCTCCCCTCGACGTTTAACGGCAACAGAGGATGAAAAAGTACAAGTAAAAGTAAGTAATAAATCATTGAGTCTGTTGACCATCATCATCATGATCTTTGCCTTTCTCATTTTGCACCAGGGTACAGACCACGAACAAACACTTTCCACCTTTCTCTATCCTGGACTATCCTCTTGATGTTATTCCATGCCTTCCCACTTTTCTGTACATCAATTTCTGTGTTCTTCTCCGGCTTGATCGTGGTCTATCCCTTATTCTCTTACCCTATGGATTTCAATTCAACACTGTCTTTGTTATGCAGCTGCCAGACTTCCTGAGAGTATGTCCAACCCATCGCCACCGCCTTCTTCCTACTTCATCTCTGACTGGGATCTGTCTCGTTTTCCTTAATACTTCCTCGTTTGGTGACCCAGTCTGTCCATCTGATTCTCAGTAACTTTTTAGATACTTGTTCAAGAAAAACGTCTGTCCATCTGATTCTCAGTAACTTTTTAGATACTTGTTCAAGAAAAACTGGATTCTCTTTATGCAAGTCTGTGATGCGCTATATGACTGACTTCACTTCTATTGAAAATCCTCAGCTTTGTTCGAAGTGAGATATCTCTAGTCTTCCAAATCCTATCCAAAAACATGACAACCGCCAGTGCTTTTGGCTGTTGGTCATGATGGTGTTATAATCATTGTCGAAGAACTGTAAGAATTCAGTTGTGTTAGAGAGTAGTACCGACGACTGTTGTTGGTTTAAGATGAGTTTTTTGTGATGTCACTGCCGTTGACGCGAGGAAAAGCGCTATCAATGCTCGTGAGCGTTGTCCTCTCTATCTTAAGAATTCATGAAAAGGCATTCGTTTAACGCCCTGTCAACACTGCTGGGTTATTCAAGAGGCGGGGTTCCCGAGTTAACGTCCATTTCCGAAAGGACTGAGTCAAGTGGGAAATTAGATTAAAGTACCTCTCACAAGGACACAACGTTGGTCGAGCTGAGGCTCGAACTCGCGAACCCACAATCTCACGATTACGAGTCCGATAGCCTAACGACTAGGCCACAGACAATGTCTGTCTTTAAACTTATCTGTATTTCCGTTCGTAAACTAAGGTAAAATTAGATAAAGTAAAATTAGATAAAGAAGATAAGGTAAGATTAGACAAGGTAAGATCAGATAATATTTTCACTGTGCGTGCCGGATTTTTTGTGTGCTGTTGAGCATTCTTATAGGAGAAGCCTGCAAGTTTGGTGTCGGTTGCATCGAGTGGTTAGGCTCTTGGACTCTCAATCGTATGGGTGTGGATTCAACCCCTGTCAGGAACCTGACGTTGTGTCCTTTAGGAAAGCATTTTGCCCCAATACCCGACTGTAGACAGTGAAATAATTATCTTTTCAGTTTGTTAGCGTTTGAGCTGGTGAAATCTGCAGCTTTTACTGTTTGCTTCCCTGGAAGCCGAGAATGTTTCTGGGGTAATAATAGTTGCAAAGCGCATAGATATTGCTGTAGAGCGGGGATATGCACTATATAAAAACAATATAATAATA